GCCAGTGCAGCAATCTAAGCATCTGATCCAACGGTAAACTACATTGGCGGGGGTTATTTTTTTGACATCCGACGCAGCGTAACAATGGCTGTGTACCAGTGAATGCGGTGTAAAATGTCTGTACTTTGGTATTGTATGTCCGTTAATGGTCCGATAGTTTTTGCTAGGGGCGATGGACGCCGGAGTAGTGGTTGTGTGTTGGTTACCACTCGTGCAGTGTCAGTAACACGCGGAATATGTGTTGTCGTCCTGCGTATGGTTCCGTCTGCAAATGTACTTGACCGAATTCCCAACCAAACGACCAAAACGTATTGAACCCTAAAACCTGTACCGCCACACTGTCGAAAACTAGCGAGTTGCACACATCACTTTGTGTCGCCGCTCGAGGTCAATTTCGTTTCAATATTTTCCGCTTGAGATCCGCTGAGAGTTTAACTTTGATTTTCAATTGAACAGACAGTCGATTTTTATTCCACGTGTTTAGTTTTTTTATTAAATTTTAACTCGAGTTTCGCGGTTCAGACATTAATGTACAGTTTTCGTGCTTTATGTTTGTTCAATGAGAAATTTGTGGATGTACATCATAAGTATACTTAAACTTCATTGGTTGTTACGCTTTTCGTATCGCCTTACAGGAGTTTCGTTTTCGGAGTATTATCGATACACTCGGCATCATAACTGAAAAAATAATATTCATCATTTTTATAATAAAAGTATAAACAGGAACTCATTTCAAATAATAAAAGTTAAACTCGTATTTTTTTTGCTCCTGAAGTACTCGACGGCGAAAAAACTTTCAAATTGAGTGATATCGATATTAAGTGTTTTCTATGAAAATCGATCGATTGGTCGAAATTTTACAAGTGAATATAATTGACACGTGTGATTTTAGAGTTGTAATTAATTTATTTGAGATTTGAATTTTATGTGTCAAAGAAAATTATATATACTCTGTTTTTATGAAATCAATTCGATTACAAATAAGGCTTATTGAATACTTTTTTATTAAATTCTACTCGTCCGTTTTAGTTATTTTTTTCGCGTGTAGATGTTGGTATTTTTTCAATCGACCGTTTAAAAAAATTCTACGAATCGTTCATGAAACTAACCAGTATCTCAATAACAATAAAATACAGAAGCTTAGTATATGCCAATTATTATCTTTTATTTAGTTTTGATTTATTGACTTGCCGTTGCACTAACGATATCTCATTCGATTAATCCATTTTCTAATCAGATAATAATGTTTAAAAAAATCCATTCCTAAGCATGTGAAATTGTAATAGGAAAACTCGGAAATTACTGACAAAGTTAATGAAAGACTATTTTCATTTTCCACAATTTTTTTTTTTACTAAATATGCCTGGTTTTATAGTATTTTACGCGAATTCGTTGTTTCCATTATTATACTTTATTATATGAAACATTAAATTTAAATTAGGCAGGTTGAACTAATTAAACATCATCAACATTGCAATTACTATTCAGGCGCTAATGATAAAAGCGTTTGATTTAAGTTCATTCCAAATCCCGTTTTATTGTTTGCATTCAACTGATAAATTTTGCTGCTTACCTATTACCGTACACATTTAATTTATTTATTAAAGCTTTAATTAATTGTTTATTTAATAAAGTCCATTCGGCACGTGCTTATAGTCGCGGTGAAACAAAAATCAATTAAAATTCCATGATATTACGAGATGATAATATTATTTTTGTTACCGACGTGTTTAATAAAGTTTCATGTAACATATGATATTATCAGGAAAATGTTAGGATTATAACGTCAAAATGAAAATTTTTGTCAAAACGTGATAAAAAAAAATAACAATAATAATAAAAAACCAAGAATATGTATTTAAAAATGAAATTATATTAAATATATTAATTTAAAATTAAATAATATTTAACTCAAAAAATGTCTGTTATCAATAAATGTATAATATTGTTAAACACAACACAACTTATAATGTAAAACAATTTTTATTAAAACATAAATAATATCTTTTCAAAGGTTATATGTAAGAAAAAAAAAGTCATGTATCCATATTAAAAACTACTTATGAATCACAAATTCAGTACTTTTTAACGTTAAAAATAAGAAATAGTAAAAATAAGAATAAAATTTCTCAATGAGATATTATTTTTTTTTGTGTTAATATATATTAAAAATATAATACACTCATTTATAGATTATTTGTTAACGGATCAAAATCTGATCGTTAATGCATTTATATTTCGTTGCAAACAGTTTATTAATTTAATTATTTTGTGTATTGATATTTACTGTTGATATTTAAATATGAAGTAAATTAATGATTATATTACGTATTTCCTCATGTTTAAGGTCTAATCGAGCACTTGTGATTTTCTATTTTTTTTTTGTTCATAAATGTATTTTTTTTTGAAATGCTCAGGGTTATTTTAGCAACTTTTTATTTTTGTTAGCCTCTCATCTAATGTCCGACTAAAAGTAAAAACGGCAAATAGCGACTGAATGAAAAAATTTTAAAGTAATGGCAACAGTAAAAAATATGAAAAAACTTTTATAAAACAACAAATAAAAACAAGACTATTAACTTTTATGATTTTATTTACTTTAATTAATTTAATTATTTTGAAAATTAAGACAAATATTTTCTTTTTTTTCTTCTATATTCAGAATTTATGTTACTGTATTACTATGTTATTATTCTGTCACCATAAAGATTTTTTTTTTTCATTATTTAATCAAAAAATACAAGAAAAAAATCATCAATGTTTATTATGAAGCGGCAGAATTTGGTAATCTGGGCGGTAAAACTCTTAAACCCGATTTTAAATGTTATGCCGGCACACCATCAAAGCAAAGCCAGCGTTCATTAAATTTAAGAGTATTAGTATTATAAGCATTGATAAAAAAAGGTAAATGTAAGAAAGAATTATATAGAAAAAGCTAAAGAATATCGACAATAATTTTGAGGATATTCTAGGAATAAATAATTTTGATGGATTGTTTTTAAAACATGGTATGCATTCATATATATAAAATAATCGAACATGATTACATGTAGTAATAGAAAAAATTACGGTAAAATTTAATTTGTACAAAGAGTTAGTCATAAAATTGAATTTTTTAGCAGTTTTATTAAAGTAGATAATGGAAAATAAATAATTTGTTCATTTTTCTAAAAAAAATTAACAACAATAAAAGTTTAACCTAAGTGTCAAGGGAAGGTCATAAGTTAGTTATGACTAAATAAATAGTAGGTCTTGTTTATTTTATGGTTTCTACAAAACTATGGATATTAACGGCATACCACGAATAAATCAATAATATATTGACTATGTATTAATTATAATTAGTATCTACAATTATAGGTCAAATTAATAAAAATAATTTGAGAGGTTAAATGAAAATTGAATGGTTTGTTATGATAGGTAAAATATTAAAATACAATAGACTTTGAGATTGATATTGTTATGAGAAACTAAATTAGTTCAGTATTCAAAAGTTTGGGTATATTCAACGAGTGATTTGAAGTATTCTATTTGGAATAAATTGCATAATAATGATTATAATATGGTTCCCACAAAGAAGAAAGTAAATGGAAGCCATTTTTAGAAGTAATGAATAGTTGAAGAAAGGTAGTCACTTCATAAAAGTAGATAAAAGTTATCTAAAAGAATGGTAATAGAGGAGATAACAAAATGATGAAAAATTGAAAAAATGATCCATTTTGTTGCAACTAATAGTAAGGAATAATAAAAAAAAATAATAACTTAAAAGTAGACCATATCCCGAGGAAAGAATTTGACAAAAAGAGAAATTTCTATTACAATTGTAACTTTTTTTTTTTTTTTATCTTTTTGTAAGCCTGTGAGCAATAAACAATTGAATCATCCCACTGTATTCATTATATAATAATAGTTTAAAATCTATTCTTGTTTGTTTATTTAAATAAAATTATTGAAGTTTTAGAAAGTTACAAAAATATGAGCTTTTACAAATGTCCGTTTTTACTTTTGCGATTCTTAATTTTGTGAAAAAGTATTAACATAGAGAATATTTAAATCTTTGACCTATTAATTAGATTCATTAATACAGAAGAAGCAATATTTAATTTATTGAATTAAATATAGCGGTTAATGAATATTGGGCGGCTACTGTTACCACCTAAAATAAAATATTGCAATTTTACTGATAAAAAATTATTTTATCACATTAATAAACGGACTGCGGAGGAAGATTGACTGTGCCGAATTGTGGATCCACGTTTGGATGAGAAAGGATTGTCTAAAAGAGAATCTTTGAAAATTAATATTTTGGTTGTAATATTTGCTCGTGTTTTATAGACTTACTTAAATAAATGTTAACATTAATAAATGATTATATATTTGAAAATTCGATATAATTTTTGTTGGCCAGTGCCATATGGTCTTTGATGATATCCCATTTTCCTTTGATAGGCTGTAACATTTTTAACATTGTTATCAACTTTATTCCATTGCCCAATGTATGTTAATGTAAAAGTGTTATCTATGAAAACAACATAAAAATATGATGAAAATATCATTATCTACTTTAAGTACATTAATTATTATCAAAATAATTCATGTCAACTAGATGTTTACCTTTTACCGTATGTAAGCCCACCGCTTCGTGTGTTTATTAAATGTTATCAGTGAAGTAGGAAGTTGTGTTTTGTGTTTTTATAAATTGTTTTTATAATGAAAGTTTGTTTAAACTACTGTATCTCTATTTATATGACTATAGATGTCTAAGTAGGTTTTTTGTTAGTCAGACCCAAGAAATGTATTTTGGAGAGGTTGTTCAAGTTGATTTAAAAAACCATTATAAATAGTGTAAAATCTTGAGAAATTTCAACTAGAATTGGGTTATATAAAACTAAGCTAATCTCTCTATACTCATTGAATAAAATCAATAACTCAGATGTATCATAAAATATTTACTAGTATTGTAAAATTACGTAAATTAAGTTGTTTTTTTTTTTTTTTAGATAAAGCAAAAAAGAAGTACGGAAACCTCTGTGGCCACAGCAGTAGTGGTCATGGGAAAACAAACGACAGTGTCGACGAAGAAGATAATGATTGTATCAGTGAGGTTTTGGTTGTTATGTTAGAACGATCACCAGGTTCAGGTTTAGGGATGAGCTTAGCCGGACATAAAGACCGCACTAAAATGGCCGTCATGGTTTGTGGGTTAAATCCCAATGGCCCGGCAGCCAAGTCCGGGTGCTTGAGAGTTGGCGATGAAATTTTAGAGGTATGAAAAGTATGCCATGTACTACTATTATATGTGTTCTATCCAGAAGATAAATGTGCACTAAAATATCTTAAAAGACACCTTTTTCAAAAGTATATAATAATATTATATACTACTATATTATAAAGTATAATTTTTAGGGGTAACTCAATTGTAGCATGTAAGTGAGTGTGCAATTTTATTAAGGACTGAGTGATCGTTACAAAAGCTAAAATCTGTTTGAGTCTAAATTGACGTCCGTCGTTTGTACTTGTGAATATAACGAGAGACGCACATATATTATTTAAATAGTTCGCACTGTATAGAAATGCCCTGTCAAGTAACCAAAAAGTATCTTTGTTTTGGTATAACCATTAAATTATTCAAAAAGTAAGTTCCCAATATTGTTATTTGAAATGTTCACTGTGGACGATAAAACTTTTTCAAGATATTTCTCAGTTATAAAAACGAACGAATTTAGTTTGTTATGCGAGCAAACTAAAGATGGGTTTCGAGTATGCGACTTGAAATCTAATCTTCAGATGGTCAAAGAACATTTCTCATGAAATTGTCATACTTTATGTTGTTTACTTTTTTTTAAGACACTAGATTTCACAAAAAGAATTACAATAAATTGGAAAAATAAGTGTCAGTGAAGTAATATTTTTTTATACCAACACCTAATCTTAAAAATTGACAGTACCTATAATGAAAAAAACGAATGAACTAAAATAAAATTATTTGTCGTTTGACAACCGTATACTTTTTATTTATTTTATTTTTTCGGATTATTTTTAAACCATAAAAAATTAGTAAAGTGTTGAGTTTTTTTTAATTCTCAGTTATTTCAGAAAAACGATTGCGGCAAAAGTACAATAATCATTAGATGGGATTTAACTTCAAGCGACGCTCAGACGCTTCAAAAGTAATTTTTTGCCGTATTGGTTCAGCGATCATAATTTGCTTATAAAAACCACGGGCCGCTGTATTCGTGATAAATATATCTTCTTTATATATTTATTAGATACGTTGAACTTTATTTTTTAACTATTGCTAAACACTCGACCTATTTCGTTACAATATAATAGTACTGCAGGGACATGTATATTATATAAGTACATTTTCGTTTGGGCGAATGTTCTTTTATTTTTATTATTTTCTATAAAAATGTTTAGTCGGTCGTGTACGACAGCGAAAAAAAATCCCTTTATACATCGTAATTTTGATAATTTAGAAGAAACTAGATACTTACATGCATTATGCTATGTAATATATTAGACACGCAATATTTCCATTTGTCCAATGAGATTGAAACACTACCACAAATGCCTTTAAACTATAAAGACACCGAGAAGTTTTTTTAATTAAAAAAAAAACAAATATTTTATGGGAGTTTTTTCTCTTAAATTTTGGGAATAAAGTTTTTTTTTAATTTGTGTTTATAATGTAATATCTTTTAGTATAGTTGATTTCACATCTTTGTTGTGGTTAAATCGAAATCATAATGAATAAAATATAACAACTAAATTTTTCAAAACTTTAATATAATTATTTATTGTTTGATATGTGTAATTTATCACAGTGAACTATATTATTTATTTTAAATTTTAAACAATTTTTTGGTTATTTTTCTCTGATAGTATACTTTCTATTCTCTGAAAAATAACCCAAGTTTAAAATTAATTTACTATTTGGTAAAATTTTATTTTACTTTTTTTATGAAATTATTTTGGGCAAAATTTTCGTTTGTGAATCCTTATTTTGATCGAAGGATCTTACCGCACCATTTATATTAAAATGATTTATTCATTCTAATCCTTAATCGAACAGCTTACCGTTTGTTTCATAATAAAATAACATTATTAATATAATGATCTTTTGTGAATTATACTTTACGGCTTTTCGTGTGAGATAACTGTCAATTTAGTATAACTTTTACTAAGGTTTTAAATTTATAATGTACTAAAAAATTAAAGATTAAAAGAAGTTATTTACAACGCTTATGTAAAATATATAAATTTGATGTTAAGTTGTAATAACCACCGGGTTTATTGTATAAACCGTTAAAAAAATATATTTAAAAAATATTCACATGCATAACATTTTAATAAAATACTTTGGAAAGTATTACCATAAAATATAAACGATTAAAATTTAAATTGGGTTATGTTATTCGTGTATTTTATGCGAATTTATTATGGCGCGTATAACTAAGTTTAAATCCTTGAAATATCTAAATGAAATCCGTTTTTTAAACAATTTGGATATCTACTACCATAAACCTATAATGGCTGACAAATTAGAAGGTAATGCAGGTTCAGGGTAGTTTTATATTATTATAATACATACATAAGTAATATAAACTTATTTTACCAACTGAAGAACATACGTGTACATCAGTTATATGCTGTGCGTTAACTCGTATCTATTTTATTCATATCTCGTAGGCTCATGATGTGTAGGTGTTTTATATGAAACACCTCTGGGATTTTGTAATTTATATGACGGTGGAAGTGGATCTAATTTAAAATGCATTAGGTTTCGGTGTACTTGGTACGTAGCGTTCAAAGTGTTTCACTAATTTTTTTTCTCTTGGCTGTTCGAGATGGCTTTTTTTTTTTATTTATTTTTGCGTAGAAAAATTATTTTTTGCATGTACAAGTGACATGTCAAAAATATTGAAAAACAACTTACTTTATTGTATATGTAATTTCCATTCATACGTATTTTTTTGTGATGACTAAAAATAACATGAATATTAAAAGGTAATTTATAAAATGGAAGATAATAACTAATATACAATTTATGTAGATTCTCCGTTGTTAGAGAATACATTTTTGTGTAATAATGTGATTATTTTAACTACTGCGCGTATAAAACATTTTTTAACTGTTTTTAATCATAAAAATTCACTTTTTTTAAACAAATTCTACTCTAATTTTTGCATGATATTATTTCGTCGTTCTTCAAATTCTTGTTGATTTCTCATGCGAGTTTAATCGAATTATGATTGTATTAAATTCTATCAAAATACTAGCTACATAGTGACCATATTACTGCTTTGTGTAACCTAATTCATTCAGCATTTTTGTAAATTTCAATACACGTATTTGAGTAATAACTCTTATGACAATACTCATCAGTCTTCAATAGTTGTATGATCTCATACCATTAATACAGGGCAGTGTCATGACTAGGGTTTTGTTTTGGAGGGAGATACACACATGAGAAAAATGTCACTATCCCCTCCGAACGAAAAAAAAAATGTTTCTTCATCATATCATTTTTTTTTTTCATAGTAATATAATTTATATAATGTAATTTATAGTAGTAATATGATACCCAAAATTCCCTTGTAATTGTTTTGCCAGCACTACAAAGTGTTAGTATGTTGTGATCGCTTTCGCAATATTTTATTAACATTATGCAAAGATTATTATAATTACTTTAGAATTATTAATAAAAATTAATTTGTGGCTTATAACTTACTGGTTTGTAGTTATTTCATTGATTTTCTCTTTGTTACTTTGTAGTATAACATTGCTGTTAGGCGTCTATAAATATCCGCATTAGACGAGTAAAGTTGAAATAAGTTTGATAGGAAAATAATTTATAATTTTCTATAGAAAGAATATAAATAGAAGAAACTTGTACCAAATTGCTTTAGATGAGAATTTACGTTGCTATCTGTTAAAAAATAATAATAATATTCCATAAATATACTCTGATAATGTCTTCGTAATCGACGTTCTTGTAGTGTATGAAATTTTTTTCATTGTTTTTGTCAGTAAAGAAAAATGGAAGCTGTAGAAATGTATATTTTCGTATAGTTGCGATGTGCACTGACCTATTTTCAACTTGTTCCCGAATACACCATAAAAAGGTCAAATGTGACTGTTTTTTCTTTTGTTGCTCCAAAAGAAACTTAATTATAATTACATCATGGTTTTGTATTTTTCCGCAAAGGTATGACGTATTAATATTACTAATTTTATGTTCTTTAACAATAAAATTCAAAGAGTACATAAAAATCTAGTTGTAGTTTTAAAAAAATACTATCAAAACAACTATTTTTATTCTTTCAAATTGGTCAAATAAATATTAATAATGTTATCTATTATTTAAATATTTTATTTGTTATCATTAAACATAATAAAATAAAATACTTATGATATGTCTATGCCGAATGATGAATTGGTGATCACAAAATTTTAAAATTTCTAGATTTCAAAATTAATTGGATGTTCACAGAGACGTTATTTCAGATTTTACTTAGCTGATACAAATTTTTTATCGGCTTGTTATTTCACTAATGGCTCAATCTTGTTAACTTTTTCTAAGATCATTTTGATGATAATAAATTAATGAAATAACTTTTAAAATCATAAAGAAAATTAATTATGATACATTAGGTGTCTTTTTCATTAGATAAAAATTTATTTTCATATCATTTCTTAGGCCTAGCTAAAGTGAATTGATAGCACTTTTGTTACCACCACTTGCCATTATCAACGGCTGGTAGTGTATCAAAAATTTAAAGATTAGTTTTTTTCTGTTCAACATTGTCTAATTGTCATTTTTTTTTTTTTACCTCATATTCGTTATATTGTTGTTAGGTTTTGATTCTGGTTGCTCAATTAAATCATTTGAAAATAAGTTTGATTATTCTTTGACTGTTCGCTTATAGTCGTTTTCTGGTATTGTCCTAAGAGAATGTATTTGATAGTATAGTTAAAATCATAAATAATTTATAGGACTCAACTTTAGCAACAGAACAGTTGAATATTTTTGTCGTAGGTCACGATAGTTTGCGTAAATCAGTCATTGATTAAATTCATTCAATATATTTTATTATTTATTGTCGAGCTATCAGACAATTGTGTCGTGTCATTGTCGGAAAACTATCTAAAAAGTTTCGAAGTTCGCTACTGATTATGCTTTTAAAAATTATAGATATTCTAGTTTTTGTTGCAAAAATCTTTTTTTGGAAAGATTATTTATTTGTACGGGTTGGGTTTCAAAAAAAGCAAATAGAGGAAAGAACACTTAATATTTGCATTTATCTTTATTTTTTACTTTACTATAAGTAAGCAATTTCCATTTTAATGCTCAGTAGAAGGACATTAAAAAGTATTACATTAATATGCTTTTTAGAAATTCAATTTTTCTACCATTGGTCAATTTTTTTACCAACATATAACATACAAATTTGTTTTTTAAACTTATAATATGTAACATAAGCTTTAATTTAACATATGTTTAAAGTATGTAATATTTCCAGAACTTTTTTAGAAGATGAGTTGAAAATTCTAACTTTTTGTGCATAAGCTGGTATTTTAAATTATTCCCTATGGGCAAATAAAGGGTTAGATATTCAAAAAAAATTATATAAAATAAACGGGAAAAACACATATTGTGTTAGTATAAAAAAACATGATTTTGATTCATTAATTTTTTATCATTAAGTTATGATAGTTTTAAGAAAAAAGTTTTAAAAATGTCGAATTTTAATGATTGTAATATCTCCCATTTATAGGAAACGAATACTTTTTTCAATAATCAAGTCTTCAACTAGATAAGATTTGTGGTATTTTGATGTATCGTTGAAAGAAATCGGTACGGTGAGAGTTAAGAAAAAGTGGCGACATACATAAAAAAAATACACATCATAGTACAATAAATGTCATCGAAGCTAATATTCTTTGAACATAGTCCATTGCTGAAAAATTATTAAAAAAAAAAGTCACATAAATATTTGATGGATCAAAAGTTATTAGATTTTTCGAAACGTTGTGGATTACCTTGTATGATGTAATTTGTAATTGGCACTTCTTCTGACTATTATTAAAATACATAGTATTTTTTTACCTATAAACAAAGTATTTTCTAAGATTAGTATAATTAAATTATGTTGTTTTTTGGTGATTTTTGCAGGGTTGTCACGTTTAAACACTGCTTGTTTAAAACACCAAAATTATAACCAAACTAGATAATAAATATGCTTATCGTATGAAAAAATGTATCTTTTGTGTCAATAAGGAATTTAGGATAAATATTTTATGATTTTATGCATTTTAATAGGACATCAAGTAGGTATGTGTTTAATTTGAATTGGCATAGATGTAACTAGGAGAAATAGTGTGGGTTTTTCTCGGTTAACGAAAAATGAGCCCCGTCCCGAAAATTCTTTATAAAATTATACATTTTGTTATATAATAATGTTAAAGAAGTATCTATAGTTAATTCTCAGCAATGATACTTTGTGATTTCACAAAGAAGTTTCAAAAACTACATCTAAATATGTACATCTATGTGAGGTGTGAAATGCTGTGTCCATATTATTTTTGTTAGTTTTTCTTATTTAAATAAACGATTTATAACAGTTGATCACATTTATGTCTTTGAATGGCTCATATTAGAACGTCTGCGTGACATCCATTTGTTAACCTATGGAATTCGCTTTGTAACATTCCGGAATGTGATATTAAAGGTCGCGTAGATATCTCGGTAACCATAGGCACTAGAATGTTACATCACACCTCCCAAGGCGATATTACTGTGACATCTCTAAGATTACTTTTTGCACATAGTTTTTTGCATTTTTTTAATTAAATAATTAGAATATTAAGTATAAAGATGTAGGGCGTGGAGACTTAAGCCCCTCCCACTAGAAGAATTGTATGTATTGTTATGTAACACATAGTTTTTTTGGAAGAAGGAAAGTCATATTTAATTAATTTACAGATAACATATTGACTAGGCACAGTGGTGTTAATTTGAATTGAATTTTTTTGTCCTGTTTGTAATTATAATACTTAATCACACAGTAAAATGAGATTTTTTTAAGAGAAACTAATGAATTTAACAAGTTAAAAATACTTCTTATGATGTTTTGTATCATAAAATGTCTGTAGCTCGTAGTAGTTTTATTATAAGTAAACGTTAAGAATATGTGAGTAAAAATACTTAATGTCATATTTTACAATCGTGGTTAAATTATTCAATTAACTAAATAACTATATAATGTAAAGTCGTTTTAATGTTCTCCAATCGTCATAGATACTCGCAATTTAATATAAATGTTTAGCAAGCCATCTTAATGTAAAAGTAATTTGAATTTATTATACGAAAAATTATTTTTCAGAATACTAATAAATTCACTAAAATTTAAATTATGGATTTGATAGAATGAATCGCTTAATGTATTATAAAATATATCATATATTTATATTAAAAATTGAAAATCGTGATAGGACACACTTATAATTTTGTTAATATTTAATTCTGATGAAGTAATAACTTGAACCACGTGTTTTTAGAGGTACGATATAGCAAAAAACTACCGATCACCTATTGTCTCAAAAGAAATGTTTGTGTGCATAATTACAGTATAGAGATTTAGATCTTTAAAATTTGCACATAGCTAAGTCTTAACACACGTATAAAAATAAACCAGCTTAAAAAATTGTGTTAATAATTTTCAGGTTTGTGGCCTTGCGACTATATTGTGTCCACTGTTAGTGTAATTAGATGTACTAGTCAGCATTAAATATTGTGTTTAAGTGTCTTATTGCAATACATTATTTTTAAAGTAATAATATATATACATATTAATAATAATTATATATAAATATACATATATATAGTTATTTTTAATGGCCAGATAAAAGTATTGATAAAAGTCGATAATTTTTAACTATACTATTTACATTTCATAGAGCTATTGAAATTATATATATTTTTCTCATAGTTCGAATTTTAGTTCTTAATATACTCTTATGTAAATTATATTTTCATATGCTTCGAGTTGTACAAAAATGTTTCAGTAACAATACGATTTTACAATTGTAAAATAAAATCGAATACAATTTTATTGATTTAGAATAAAATAATAGAAATTTATGTTAACTGTTACTACGTTCACATAAATTTAATAATAAAAACACGTGTAAAATCAATAATTCGCACGTCAGTCGAAAATTAATTTGTTTGATCATTGATATTTAGTTAAATGAAACATTATGTACAGTTAAGTTGAGTTCAAAAAAGATATTGTTAAGTAATTAACAGCATATGACTTGTAAAATAACAATTAGTATGAAGTAAAAAGTAACAATAATTATTACATTGATCAAACTGTTGGATTCATTTGAGTTTTTTTATAAATAATTTCATAGTCTATTTTTTACATGTATTTGAATTGTGACTTTAAGTACACACAAGTGATAATAGGTTATTAGACTACAAGAAAACTGCACAAAATATTTATATGATTTCTCTATAAATAAAATCGAAAAATTACATCTTCAAATGAAAAGTTTTAATTTATTATAAAAATTGTGATTGTAATTTTTTAATAAATAATAATTATTAAATAAATTTATGATATGCAAAACTTAAAAACAGCCTTTTAAATACAACTCGAAATCTAAATAATTATTATCAGGCTCAAAGGTAATAGATGATAAATATAGACTCGAACAATAAGATAAATATACTCTACGCAATATTCTTTTGTATGTAAATAGAGAAAAATTTAGTTTTTCTTATATCCGCAAAGGTATCATTGTTCACAAGAAACGATTATTGTATTTTTTCAATGTCGTATTAAGATTACTAATTTTATGCTCTAAAACAATAATACTCAAAATGAGTAAAGATTCATTTTCATTTCATTTCTTAGATTATTATAAATTGGTTTTTATCAAGGAACGGGCTTGTTCAAAATAGGTCAGCAAAGGTGCGAATTAAGTTTCCATTAAAAATTAGACTAGGGCAAATAACCAAATGACGCACCTGGATGTCGTGTTGTTAATATGTGAAAAGTGTTATGTGAAATGTAAATTATCAATAAGGTTTAAATTAAAAAACTATGGTAGTAAATATAAAAGAATTTTTATTTAGATTATAAATATTTGATTTTACTAAATAATAAATTTTGAATATTATTAAGTGACTTACACTGTAGTAATTTAGTTATATAATATAGTTGCTATGACATACTAATGTAATATTATATTTGTTGTTATTACAAAGTAATATTTAATATTATTTTAATAAATTTTATATTTGTATTTATTACTGGACAGTGATATTTTGTATCATGAAACAATTAGTATTTAAAAATGTTGTTGAATGCGCTGAGGCTTGTCTATCATGTTTAGTAAATTGTTATTCTTTAACAGTCTAAATTTGACGCATATGGCCCGACCATCAAATTTATTGTGCAAAATATTGTTAAAATTTGCTTACTACTTTGTAAATTGTATGATATTATTCCATCATGTTTTGACTAGACCGTTTAAATTTGTTATAAGTGAAATTCATTAGTAAGAGCATCTATCAAAAAACCAAAAGGTGTCGTATGACTTTTATAGAATATTATAAAATTACAACTTAAATCATATTCGTTTAGACCGTTAAACGAATATGATTTAATGTGTTTCATTGATACTTTTTCATTAAATGAATTTTGTATTATAAATAAATTATCTGGAATATTTAAATTATTTTATTGGTTGTGCTTTTAAATAATAAATTATGATATTTTAAATAAATCTTACTCTTACTAAAGCAATTATTGAAGTTAAAAATTTATTTTGTTTAACTGTTTTTATTTTAGGTAAATGGCATAGTGTTACACGGTAGATGTCATTTAAATGCTTCGGCCATTATCAAGGGTATTCCAGGACCAATATATAAAATAGTTGTATTAAGGTAGGAGTGTATTATTAATGTCTAAATATGTTAGGTAATTAAACAATTAGTGAATGTATTGATCATAATATTTGTTATTGATAGGTTCTATAATAAGCTAATGTGTTTATAATTAGGACTGAGTTTCCATAAAATTAACAAAAAAAAATTTTTGTTTCAGAAAACCAGCTGCGCTAGACGAACTTGCCGTTCGACCAATCATTCAATTTCCTGTGACGCTTGATGACGAGGTTTGTGATTATTTTTTTACTCATAATAAACACTTTCGCTAGATTAATGTTATGAATTTATATGATATTTTTGTTTTTGACAGACGCCCGAAGAAAAATATGCAAATTACAAAGGTCTACGAGTTGTCACAATGAAAAAGGTAAATACTATAAAATATTTAAATTTGCCAATTTTTTTGTACATTTTTTCAACATGAATTTAAAACACAACCTTGTAAAAAAATTGTACATTTATAATTTCATGGAAAATATTCAATATTATAAATTAGTAATATGTATCTAACACTTATTACCCATCATATCTGATACCTACCACTTAAAGTTTCACCAGTGAATTGTAAGATAATTTTAATATTTATTTTTTTTAATACATTAAAATACACGTATCTATACTTATCTCCCGTGTTGTTACAAACTCCTTTATACATATCTCACAGCTGTAAACTATCACTTAATAATTATATTGTGTAGCATAGTTGTAATTGATATGTTTCCTATAGCCCTGTATCAGTATTGCATATGAAGGCCAACTCACAAATTCACCCACACAACAGGTAAAAAAATACAAGCACTACACTGGATAGTTGATTTTTGTAAAACGGTTGTTTTTTTTACCTAAAATAACCTAGTGTTTATTAATAAATATCTTTCTTGAAACATTAAATGTTTCTTTTAAATTTGTCTTACATAGTTTTTATTTTTTGGAATATAGAAATGACATGCATATACAGATTATCATAACAGTTATTAGTTCAGGCTCGTTTTTTTGTAATTTTTTTTTTATTTGGCTACTAATCTAACATTTAACTATTAGCTAATATATAATTTTCCATTTAAAGTTTTGTGATTAGTAGGGTTAATGCACTCTACTCATATGATTATGACTATCATATTGTTCCATATGCCGACTTATATAGGTGTTTTTGTTTATCTTTCATTTGCATGCGTTACCTTTGTTAGTTGTGATTTATTTTAAATAGTTTTATTTTCTTTAGCTCCTTATTTTAACGTAACATATAGAAAAAATCTATTGTTTTGATTTCAGAGTCCTCACGGTTTAGGAATCATGATTTTAGAAGGAAAACATGCTGAACTAGGAACTGGTATATTCATATCAGATATACAAGAAGGTAGTCCGGCCGAACAGGTGAATATCAGTAGTTTTTCGTGGTTTCTCTATATAATAAAAAAAAAATTATTTATGTTTTACAAAAAGAGCTCTCATGTTATTTCACTTGTGTACATATTTACACGTGTAATACTAAAATATTCTACGTTAGCCTAGCATTCAAGTATTCTATGTTATCCATTCGTTTTAGTTATATATAAAACAATAGTAAGCATGTATATAATTCCATTTCAGGCCGGTCTTACTGTTGGCGATCTGATCTTGTCCGTCAACAAGGACACGTTGTTAGGCAGTACCTATGACGCAGTAAGTGTAGTCGCCTTTTTTGAACATATATGTATAAACTAATACTATGAAAACTTGGAGTTCTGTTATAACATTTTGTATCATGTATATTTAGGCGTCTTCTTTGCTAAAGAAAACCGAAGGTGTTGTAACTCTAGTCGTTTGCAATCCTAACCGAGGCAAGGATGATGGTAAAGCCATTACAGAGAACAAAATTAATGATAAACCAAAACAACCAGAAAAACCAAGTAGGTTGATCCATTTTTCAATGGTTTAAATTATCAATAAAACATTTGTTTAATGCATGCTTTCTCTTTTTATTTTAATCAAACATTATATGGATTTTTTATTTTAATTAATATTTGTGAGTAAAAAATAATAACAATAATAATAATAATAAAGTTTTGTTTATAAGATAATTTTGTTATAGAATCATTAACGCCAATTTATTTGGATCAATCAGTTGAACCTCCTCCAGATCCTGCTACTGCATCCGTAAAACCTGGAGTAGAATCTATTATAGAAATTAATAAGGACAAAATGGGTTTGGGCCTTAGCATAGTCGGTGGATCTGATACGCTACTCGTACGTTAACCTTGTGCAATCATGCAGTTGAATGTTTAATTTACTTTTTCATTTTTTATATGAGTTATCTTAATTATCTTAGGGCGTTGTCATTATTCACGAGGTGTACCCTGACGGTGCAGCAGCCAAAGATGGCCGTCTAAGACCGGGAGATCAGCTGGTCGAAGTGAACGGAGAAGATTTTAGGAATATAACGCACGTCAAAGCGTTGAGTGTATTGAGACAAACACCATCAAAGGTAAGATACCTCATTCTTAAATGTGTTGTAAAGTGTGATGTGTAGAACTATGAATGTTTTAAATTCAGGTGTCTATGGTTGTATTGCGAGATGAATCATGCGTTACAGTTGAAAATGGTATCGTATCGACAGACACGACTAGTATTATGGATAGTTTCGATGTGGAGCTCATGAAGAAACCTGGAAAAGGTTTAGGACTTAGCATAGTAGGAAAAAAAACTGGACCTGGAATATTTATATCGGATATTGTGAGTAATAATCAAATATCTAAAAGTATATAATCAGACTTGGATCGTAATGGAGCCAATGGAAATTATAGTATTATATTATATTTTGTAAAGTGTGTAAATATTCATTTGGTTGTATAAAAATGTTTATTTTTCATAATTTAGTTTAAACTTTTACTGTATATCAGTAAATTGTATTTTTGTATCGTTAATTCAATATAGGTCGCTGGTGGAGCAGCCGGAGTGGATGGTCGTTTGATGAAAGGTGATCAAATATTAGCGGTGAATGGGCAGGACGTCCGAAAGGCTTCTCAAGAAGAAGCTGCTGCTGTTTTAAAAACAATAACTGGCAAAATAATATTGAAAATTGGTCGTCTGAAAGCGCGTTCGACGTCGAGTTCAGACAAGTAAGCGTTTTGATATTTGATAGCCCCCACATTATGGAACATTATCTTCCATAAAATGTTTGCGTTTCATTATGAAATCTACTGATGACAAACGTGATCAGTATTCTATCTGATAATATCTGACATTTTTTTTGTGAGTTTTCACTGAAATAATTTATTTTTTCATGCTAAACTTTGGGAACTTAGAAAATGATTATCCAATTATGTAAGTAGCTAAACTGAGGTTTTTTTTTATATTTGTGTATTTAAAACTGCGAACTAGTAAAACATTTGCATGAACGAGCCCATATAATAAGTTTTATTATGAAAATTTTGGATTAACAGTGAACTGTTATAATTGCTATTTCGTATGAAGTAGTCGACTTAAAATTTTTGATTTGTTGAAAATTGTGTTTGAATAATATATGTTTCGTAGAAAAATACTGCGTACTTAGATATTTTTGTTTTCTACAATAATTAAGTTTTTGCTTTTAATAAAAAATATATTAGTTCAAATAATAGAAATCAGTCCAGATAATTGTATAAAATGTGTTTTCAAAGTGTTTTATTGTTATTTATAGTGATACTATATCTATGGAAGAAACACGGACTGTCACTATGGATCGAAGACTGGATGGTTTTGGATTCAGTATAGTAGGTGGACATGGTCAACTTCCTGTATATGTCAAAACCGTTTTTTCTGGCGGTGCAGCTAGTGCTAGTGGTCTTTGTAGAGGTGATCGAATTTTGACAGTCAACGGCATATCAGTAGACGGTATGTCCCATGATGATGTAGTTTCTATGCTTAATGATGCAACCCCTTCTGTAACGCTTACATTGCGATCATAGAGTGTGGAATAATTAAAGAGACAATTAAAGAGATGAAGTGTATATGTGTATGATATAGTATTAAAAATAATTTATAATTCATGAATATATTTTTCCAATTATACATTTTTTTTTTAATAGGTCGATTTACTGACAAATGTGTATTATGATTATTTTTTTGTAGTTCTTTTAAAGAACAAGATTGATTTGTTATGTTAAAAGCACTTGGTTGTATTTAGATTTCTTTAGAAAAACATTTGCATTTTTTGTATGTAGGCTTTTACTTGCACAACTTATTAAGAAAAAAACTATAACTTATAAATGTGATGTAAATTTGTTAAATTTTATACATTAATTGTTAACTTTATTTAGTATTTTAAAAATTATATTCATTTTTTGTGATAATAGAATTAAGACTGAACATAAAACCAATAATGTCAAACAACAAGTCATTTTATTCTTTTAATTTGGTCTCAACTTATTTTTATGTACCTTATAAACAGGGTCGCATTTATGTAAAACTTGTGTATTATTAGTTTTAAAGGCACCTTTTAACTTAACTCAAATTACACGTGCCAATTACTGTTTGAAATTTATTATTAAATATAATTAATGTTGTTGTTTTACATTTATTTCATTATAGCTCTAAAAGCTTGTAAAATAGTAGTTTTAAATAAATGTTTAGTCAACCAGTCCGTGTATGTATAAATTTATTGTAAACACTTTAATTTTTATTTAAATTTGTATTTATTTGAAATGTTTCACCGATTCTTGAAATAAATAAACAGAAATCATTTTTAAAAAAATGGTACATTTTATTTTATGCATTTAAAATGATTTCTTACCCAAATGACTTAGAGAACTAAGAAAACTAAGTAAATATTACTTTTTTAACAGATCAGCAAATAACAAAACAATTTAAATAATCATTATATTTTTTTAAATTTGACTAAAAATAATTGATTATTTTGTTTATTTTAATAATATATTTAAATATGACAGTCTTGCTTTATAGTATAAATTAGAAAAAATAATATCCAAGTAACTAAAAATAGTGGAATTGTAAACTTCTATTACTTTCACTAACTACAGTGATAACTATTAATTATAAAGAAAAAAAAATGAATTCAAATTATATTCTACGATTTTTATTTCTGGTAAGTATAAATAATAATTTACATATTATAAAATTACTCTGTTTATATGGTGGTTTATTATGACACCTTCTGGTTTGAGGTAATAATAATTATTTTTCAAAAATGTTCTCAAAAAAGTATTATTTATTTTTTTCAACTATAATAAATATTAAGTTTATTGTAAAAAAATCTATTATATTTTTGAACATTCTCAGGCCAGGTATAGTTAGAAAATAGTTGAGTCAATTGGGATGGATATCAAAAATTAAATAAAAAAACATCTAATTGAAATTATACGAAGTTTCGTATAGAAATTACAACTATTTCTTTATGAGACTCTTAAATTATGTAAATTCAGCCCTTCTCGGACAATAATCTTAATTTGTATAATAAATAATATTTGATCATGTAATTAATTAATTAATAATATTATTAATATTTATATAATAATCTAAATAATTGTAAAATTGTCTGGTAAANTATTTATATAATAATAATCTAAATAATTGTAAAATTGTCTGGTAAATAACTAGCCATTTTATTTCAGTACTTGAGAAGTTATTAAAATTTTTATACATAAGCGGAAGGAGAAAGTCGACGAAATAATATAATAACCTGAGTCTATACTTAAGAATCGTACTAACTTCTAAAGTCATATGTCGATAGCGACTATCTTCTAGTAGATAACCGATATTTCCTTAGTTAGATTGTATTCACTAGATTCACTTATCATGGACCACTTAATTGAAAAATAAAAATAATAATAATTTTTATTGTTCCATTAATTATGTGGTTCGTAATAAGCGAATCACTTTGTATAAGTTTAACAAATATTATATTATATATTATTATTATTAAAATAATATATTATGTTTAACAAACTTTCAAACTGAAATAAATATAGAACGTAGTATAATAATGACTTAAAAATATCGCAATGAAAAAAAAAAAATTATATTTAAAGATTTTATATTTTTAAAGATATCGCGTGAGTCATAGTTAAACAATCACTCAGTATGTAAATAAAAATCAAAAGACATTTAATGTCATCAAAAATGTAAAAATTGTCTACAAGTTCAAATCATTAATTTTACAACGTAATATAAGAATTTAATACATAATAATAAATTTTTTGTTGAATTTTGAAGCACTGGCATATTACAGATAAGGGTTATGAAAAAATAGTTCTAAAAAGTAAAAGCAACAGGTAAAAACAACCATCCAACCGTCACGACAACTATCGAATAAAATATTGTGTATATTTGTTTATTATACAACTTTTTAATAATATAATAGTATAGTCTATTTTATCTAAAAAGGGGAAAAGTTTTTCAACGACTGTGTGTATAATACATCACAAAAAAATAATAGTAATATTAGATGGCGTTGTATTTAATAAAGTTCTGGTTGTAGAGATGTTTTAAAGATAACTTAAACAAAAGCCAATTCTATCATCATAAATAACTTATGCCCTGAATTATCAATTCATACAATATCCCAATACAATTTAAAACTGATGTCCGTCCTAAAAAAAATTTCTAGCTGTGTTCGGAATTAATAGTTCATATACAATCCAAAAAGTTAGTAACCATTATTATCGTAGATATGTTGAAATGTATATAATTACAGGATAATTAATTTATCTTTGACTATTAACATTCTCTTAAAATAATAATGACTGTGATTTTTTTCACCTTTGTTCAGCAATATTTATTTCTCAATTTTTAAGTAAATAAATAAGTTAAATATTTTTAGTACTATCTGATATCCCTTGTAAGGGTACCAATGTTTTTGAACGGCACACAAACATATTTAACTTGCTCATACAATAAAAACGATCCAATTCAGAAAATGACTGCCGATAATCAGTATTTTGAAAGTTTTCAATACTTAAATATATATACTAGAGGCAAGGTTCCAGGTTATGTTATTTTATCATTATCCAATTTCTTCTGCAATTAACCTCGAACCAAAGTAAAAAAAAACCCAGCACAGGGGGGTCGCGGCACAGTGGTGACGTGACATAGTTGGATCAAGTATAATGATATCTGATAGTGATTAAAATCACTATCAAAAATAAACGCTTCGATGCAAATCTTTAGATAGTGTTTAATTTTAAAAAAATTGGTGTTTTATTCCAAAAGCTACTTGATCTGCTGGTTCCTTATTAATATCTTGATTAAGATAAAGTATGTCGAATGAAAAAGGGTTTATTAAAAAATATTATTTCTCATAAAAAAATTGTGTGGATCCATAAACTTTTCAATAAGTTATAGCATTATAAAGTTAAAT